GGGGTGGGGTGGGGTGGGGTGGGGTGGGGTGGGGCTACGTGGGACCGTCACTGGCGGTCGGTCAAAGAGTTCATTGGTGCCACGTTTCCAAGAAAGATCAAAGGTCTGCTTGGATCAAAAGTGCACCGAGGAATTCCCGAACTCGTGCACCAGTGGCTGTACAGATCTTGGCATGGCTCTGACACTCCTGCTTGTGTATACGAACACTTGACGCACTTGTGGAAGTAGGTTGTCCGGACGTTCTGGTTCATCCATTTTCACAGGAAGAATTCATTGTAAAAAAACACACGAAAACAACCTGTCATGATGATAAAACGAAGCGGCGTTCTATCAGCCGCTTAACATGTAGTTTGAACGGGAGAACCATTCAGCAGTGAAAACAGTTCAAACATGATCAAACAGGTTGAAAACTGCCATTCACTCAAATCTTTAGGTGCGTTGCCCACGATGGCCAAACAAAGCACTGGTGGCTCTTCCATGGCTACAGCATGACTCCACTGCGCAGTTGTCTAGAGGCCGCTTGCAGTAGGTTGCAGGAAGTTGCACAGGATTTTGCGGGCAACTAAAATGGAGTTCAACAATACTCAGTCAACTCTGTTTGACTACAGCGGGCGGGAACTTCATCTGAGATATCTGAGGTAGTGTATATAAAGAGCTGCCATATGGATCTGTCATGATCTGTCTTGGCAAATGTTCTTGTGCTTGCATAAGCTTGCATGAACCATGGACGCCAAGAACTTGACCACTTCTCGACAATCAGTGTCACTGCCTCACTTTGACCAAATGATTTCGCGCCTCATGCTCTGCGCTTCTTTATCCAGAAACTTCCGCGGTTGGACTAAAGAGTTCACCAGGTGACACGGATCTTTTCGAAAACATCTCAAAAATATTGGAGGCCAAGCAGCTTGCGTGCCTGGCAAGGATGTGCCATATGGGACAATGCCTGATGTTGTTTGCGTGTGCACGCGTCTAGATTGCATGGCAAATAATGAACGTGGTTTGTATCAAGCGGCAGTGTGGGAGTGTGACCACCCTGGAGTCACGCGTGTGCATTTGCAACTGTTTTCGTGATTTGCAAACTCTTCGTCATAATGTATACTGTATACCAAATCGTTATGGTCATCAGTTCGAGCTTCAGCTTTAATATGAACGGGAATAGAGCAGGACCGTGGAGTTCTATCGAACAAATCCCTCCACTGTGCTAACTACGCTCCAAACATACATCTGCATGTGGCATTGGATCTCGATCTTTTCCATGTTTTCTGTTTTATTGTTGGTCTGTACGCCAATGTCCCGTGCGTGCGTGTGTGTGTGTGTGTCACAAGGGTTCAATGCCACTGTTTTCCATTGCAACCACTCAACGAGGCAGGGGGCCAGCGGCCGGCAAGCAAACGCTGGCTAACAAAGCTATGCTTGTCGGTGGATGCACAGTCTGATCAACTGTGTGTACCTGCGACCAACGTTTGCACAAGCTGTCTAATTTGCTCGGTTTGATTCATGGTCCTTCATGCTACTCCCCCCAAACCCTTTTTCCACAGCCGACCTGCAGCAGACGTTCAGTCACTGAGCCGCCGTGGCAGCCGACCGCAGACTTGCACAGCTTTGCAGCCGCGTCTTTCGAGTGCGATTGGAAACCATGTTCAACCATACTGTTTCCGCTGACTTTTCCACCTTGCGGTTCTTCGCCTTTCTTCCCATCGGGAAATTGAGTGTAACTGAAAACCAATGTCAGAGTGTGTCTCGCTCAGCCGTCCCACTCGGGTGCTGAGTGTGATCCTCCGCAAGGAGGCGCTGTTTCATTCGGGAAATCGTGTAACGGACCTTTTCCACCTTTCACAGGAATTCACCTTTTGATCAACCCTCACTGAATTTACTGCTTCCACGGCCGCCGGGCCAAAAAACGGGATGCATCGACCAGCTGATTTCGTTCTGCATCGGTTTTGCGTTTTGTGATTTTCTGCCTCAAGCCGAGTGATTTGATTCACCTCGAACGTTTAATTCGACTTGCATTGACACACCACATTACCGCCTTTCACATTTTCACAACTACCACTTTTACACAACGCCACATGCCCACATTTCAACCATATCTTTACCATCTCATTTCTACACGACTGCACCAGCTGCTGTCTCCGCCGCCGCGCCGCGCCGCGCCGCTGCCATTGCGAAGCAGCTGCCACGAGTTTTG